GAGCAGGAGGTTGAAGCTTACTTGGCTGCAAATGACGGACGACGTCCGGCTTGGACATCATCTTTATACGTGAAGTGAAGTTGCAGAAAGCTGGAGCCTTAGACCTTTTGGAGAAAGCCACGGTGGCTCAGTCCCCGGAGGAGAGGCGGGGAGCTTGGAGCAGGAGGTTGAAGCTTACTTGGCTGCAAATGACGGACGACGTTGCGTTTGGACATCAATCATCTTTATACGTGAAGTTGCAAAAAGCTGGAGCTTTAGACCTTTTTGGAGAAAGCCGCGGTGGCTCAGTCCCCGGAGGAGAGGCGGGAGAGCTTGGAGCAGGACGACGTCCGGCTTGGACATCACCTTTATACGTGAAGTTGCAAAAGGCTGGAGCTTTGGACCTTGTTGAGGTGAAGCTGCGGCGTGCTCGAAGATGTGCGACTGTGTCTCGCCCAGGATCACATAGCCAGTAGGAACGAAAGGGAGACTTGTTCCAGGATCTAGGAGAGTGTCAAATGTTTGATCCGGTCAAAGGCAGTTAGTTTTTTCTCAATTTTTCTGTCTCAGGTGGTTGACGTGACTGCTTTGCGGCAGTATCGAGTACCGGGCAGCATGGAGCGATGCGATGTCATGACTTTTTTATTGGATTGTTTCTGGGGGAGAGACGTCCCAAGACTCGCATGAGACAGAAGCAGCGGCTCAGTCCCTCCATTACTACATGTTCAGAGATTCCGCGTTTTTCTGAGAGAGTTGCGGCGTGCATCTTAGACTTTACTGGGAGCTTGCAAACGGATGATGGGGAAGCTGTATGCATTGGAAACGACAAAGAGCACTTGCAGACATGCCAAGCAGGGAATCCAACATTGACGTCGGCCAAGAGGTGTTCATATGGCTGGCACGACGATCAATTGACCAGCGCTGAATACAATGCTGTGGTTTCCCGTGAAATTTCTGCAACTTGGATTACATGGCGGAGGCGCGCAGAAGACCTCGTCCAGGAGTGCTTCACCCTACGGCGCACGATGAGAAGGAGGACATTGGCCTGGAGGGAGAATTTGTTGATGCCGCAGACTTGGACGATGTTCACGACCCAGACCCTGACAAGGCAGCGGAACCGTCGGCCCTTCGCCCGGAACTGCAATATAAGCCCATTCTGCATCTAGCTTCTGCCGATCTGTTTGATCTGGTACATCGTCAGGACACTAAGACGACGGCTTCCGGTCGTACGAGCGCTGGCACAAAGCGGCCCAGAGACTTTTTTGCACCAATATGCCGGGAAATATCTGGACATGAAAGAACCTCGGACGTGTGCTATGCCGAGTGCGGCAGACGTGAAGCGTGGATGTGGCTTCGATGTGGTGTCTGGCTTAGAGACGCAGAAGCTTTTGCGCGACAGCAGGAACTCGCACGCCAGACTGGATGCGTTACAGCGTCGCTGGCTGCATGTGGGTTTGGTGTTCGTGGACGAGATCTCTCTGACCCCGCCTGCGTTGTTGGCTGCGATGCAGCGCAATGGGGCAGACACACTCTGCAGAACTCCAAGCCTAGTGGTTCAGTGTTTGAAAGAGGGAAAAAAAGGAAAACGCTCGTGCCAGCGGTTGGGAAACGTCAGCAAGTGATCATGTGGAGACGTTGGGAAATGTATTGTGCCAAATCGTTGCTGGTGATTTTTTGCAATTGAATCCAGTGTTGAATCATTCCTTGATGGAAATCTTCGGTGTCGAAGTTCCTCGTGCTCCAACGTATGAAAAGATGGAGGCACAGACCCGGCAACGCAAGCAGGACATCGACCGGTTGGGCTTGCAGATCTTTGGTCAATTTTTGCCGCAAACAATTCTGTTTCGGGGGAGCCATCGGCTCAAGGTGGGCGATCCGTTGGCGGAGATCCTCAGCAACATGCGTAAGGAGGGTCACAATCCTTTGCGTGAAGAGTTGAAAGACGCCATTCGTAAGCAAGTATTTCGACCTTTGGCCGCTGGACAGTGATTTTGTGATGCGAGACGCAGATGGGCGTCAAGTGGGTCCTACGGGCTTCTTTGCCAATGGCGTGTTTTCGGCAATCAACTGGGATCAGGTGGCACGCTTGCAACAAATCACTGTCTATGAATCCGCAAAAAGCAGTTTTGGAGTCAGCGCTTGGCAAAACACTGCGGCTGGCAAGGCTGTGCGGATTCATCGACATTTTCCTCCTGCGTTGGGACGCTCCATCAATGCTAAGTTTGGGCAAGGCTTGCAGTCGGTGGCTCAGTCCCTGACGTCCTTCATGTTTCAGCAAGGACAGGTCATCTATTACGCGCAGGCCGTGGATCTGGTTCATCAGAAGGAGTTTTTTGCTCACAAAAGCATCTTGCACGAGTGCTTGGCAATTACCATGTGGGCCTGCGTGTCAAAATCACGAAGAAACTTATGGCCCCTGAACTGGCGCAAGAATGTCCTGCCGAAGTCATTGCAATTGGAGTACATCCGCAGGAAAGATATGGCATTCCCGGCTGTCCACCGGGTTTGCCACAACCACCGGCTGGCCACCCCTGTTGGAGCGAAGGCATCTGCAGATTGGACTATTTACCTTCTTCTGTTAGTAAGTATTCGCGTCGAGGCCGGGATTGTTTGAAGTCTTCGATTGAGATCACATTTCAGGAACCGTTGGACATATATTGCATCAGCATAAAGGAACCTTTTATGTTAGCTTCGTGCTGTAGTCTGGTCAATAGAATCTAATGTCCCCCTGTGAGGACCGCGGCGACGACTACACTGGACAAGGACATTTTGGTGTCTGGCATTTGGATCCGTCTGAAGACGAATTCAAGCTGCGCGTTCGTCGCCGCGGAGAAGTTTACCTGGATGTAACTCGAGTGCAATACCCATTGGCGCCGTGGACTGCAGGCACGTACAATAATCAACAAGGAAAGACTGTGCGGAACATGGGGCATACTGAGAGGCATACTGTGGACTTCAAGAAACCAGATTTCACTCCGGAGGAATACATTCAGCATGTTTATATGATTACAGGTCGGTCCACCTGCTTGCAGCATTGCTTGTTTCGCAATTTGCCGATGCAAGAAGACGGTCAAGACATCGACTTCAGTTTCGAACATGGACCACCGGCTTATATTGCACAGTTCTTGACTCGTCTGGAGGCGTGATCGGTGGGAGAAAACATCGCCGTTGTGTTGTGAAACCAGTGTGAATGTCATGACATTGTTGGTCGTGCAGGAGATGGCTCAGTCCTCGTCGATGGCAGTGCAAAGCGCGTTGGGACATTTACCTGGTTTTCCCAGTGCGGCTTTGTTACGGCCTTTGCGCCAAGATGCGGATGGATCCTTCGTGTACGAAATGGAAGCTTGGTCACAGGCGACGGCTAGGTCTGCGACCACTTCTGCTGGGAGCACGAAACGACCATGGCCGGGCAGATCGCATCCGGATCGTGAACCGTTTTGCGAGATGCACAATTTGCGGTTGCACTCTCTCTCACAAGTCGCTCATCAGTATTTACTACGACAGCATCGCCTGCGGGCTTTCGTTGCAGATGCCGGTGGAGGAGGCGATTGCTTTTTCTTGTCGGTGGCCGTGTGTCTTCAGTTGTGGCGCGAGCAGTGCGTTACGTTTCCACCTACCTTGGAAGCACTGCTAGCGGACGGACCGTCGCGCCAAGTTCTGGCACAACGATTGCGTGACATCGTAGGCCGCCGTTCTACAGTGGTCACCAAGGCGCTTCGTGGACTTTATGACCACTTGCTGATGGATGAACTTGCTGGTACGTGGTTAGATCCGTGGAAGATGTCGCAGGTCATTGCTGGCACGTGTTTCGCTTTTATGCAAACTGTGAACGAATTAACTACTATCAGTGAAGATTCCAGAGGCCATTTAGTTTTGCAATGTAAGCATGGAGAAGAGGTTGGTGTGGTGCGCCACAGCATCATGAATGGTAAGGATGTTTTGGAGAGCTTACAGAGTGTGATTGCTCGCCATGTCAGTGAAGCTGGTAACAAGCATTGGGCCACGCACTGGGATGTGGATGTTTTAGCGAAAGAACTGAAAATATGTTTCTGCATCGTGGGCAATGAACCGGTGAGCGCGCCAGTGAGAGGTGAAGATCTCCCAGCCAACGGCTTGCATTCTTATGCAGCAGCAGTGGAAGACCCTGAGGCTTATGTATGTTTGTACAACGTTTCGCATCAGCATTTTCAAGTCTTGGTCCTGGATTTAGACAGTGGGTTTCAAAGCGCATGCCTACCTCCAGAGCTGCCGACTTCATTGGCAGATGCTTTGCGCAAGCGGGCTGTTGTTTCCATGGTTTGACATGAAATTTCGTTATCGATTTGCAGCTTGACTGGCTTGCAGTTACTATTCGACGTCACTTTGCTAAGATTTTCGTGTTGGGTTGGTTGATATACCTTTTGACTGTCAAAGTTGGTCGCGTTCTAAGAGCATCGATTCTATCAATGTGTTTTCTTGTTAATAGGAGTCGCTGTCAGGTCATGGCGTTGGGAAGAACCATCGGAGTGGTGGCTCCGTGTGCTGACATTTGGTTCCGGAGATAGATAGGGTTTCTTTCTGTTCCTGTTGTGATTATGACCGCTACAGCTTTGATTTTGATGTTCTTACTCGTTTTGGTTTTGCAATGGTTTTCAGTCGTCTTACGGGTTTGTTTTTTGGATCTACACGTTCAACACTACTTTGATAGCCTTGCGTTATGTGAGACGGGAGATGGGGATTGTTTCCCGACGGTCCGTTTTGGATATCCCTGCGACTTGGCTGTGTCCAGCGAGGCGCTAACGTCTCTTTTCATGCGCCAAGGTTTCGGCAGAGATCTCGACGAAAGCTGCGCGTGCTGCGGCTTAGATGCTGCGAGCGACAAAGGCCAGGGACGTATGGGATAGAGTGTGCTGGCTGGAAAGGGTGACTTGGACTACTTTTTGGTTTTGAAGAGAGCAATTCATGTACCCGAAGGGATGCAGGGAGAGAATTGAACAGATGTGATGTGAGTCACTGTCATGCATAGCAGCAGCAATTGCGCCAGCATGTATACTGCTGCACTGGACACAGACCGTGACAAAAACTTTCACAAGGTCATCACTTCGCTCTGCTCCTTTCAAAGGCGCTTGCGCTGGCAGCTGCCGTTGCCGTTGTGCGCGTTGGATGTACAAAGCAGGCCGGATGGATGATCGCTTTCATTATGACAGCAGCGACAGTAACTGTACCGCAACAATCTCCTTTCATTATATGCAACATTTCCCTGCTCATCCCTGCTCCATCCATGGGATTGCCTAGTCAATGTTATCGCGTTTGCCCTGAGGCTGCCACGTCGCTGATGACGCGCTCGCAGCAACCACATGTGTCACAAAAAGATTGTTTTTGCAGTGAAATCGTGATGGGTTGTACGTGTGATTCATTCGTTGTTATATTTCTGCTTTATCAATTTTAAGCAAATAATCTATATTTTGTTTTTATAGTATAATACTTTATATTTTATACATTAACTACTTTACGTATATATTCAATGAATTTATACTTAAATTTGTATTAATTTGTAACAATAGGTGATTTTAGGAATTATTGGGATACCTATTTAAAGAAATATTGATATTACTATTCAATGAATATACTTGGGGAAATACTTGTGTCAAGCCAAAACTAGCAGATGAAGGCAGACATGTCAGATAACTTAGTAGAGCTCAAAAATAGGTGAATAAGTGCACTTCCACAGCCTGCCGGACTCTAATAAAATGTAGGGCTACTGGCACCGGATTTTGTCTTCTGTCAAGTCGCGCTTACGTCATTGTGCTCTGCAAGAAGAATGGTTATAAGGCTAGCGTTGTGTTTCTTAACAGTCCACGCCCTAGCTCCCCCTCAACTGCAGCGGTGGGGTATGTATCAGAACCATGCTTAACCACTGTAGACCATACCGGCCCTCATTGCATTACTTGGTGGCTGTTTGCTCCTATTTTGCCCGCATGGCTGTTCATGCTGCTGTGTTGAATTCCTTTCGGTTTTCTGCTTGTTGTTGCAGTTATTTGTTGTCTTGTGGGCGCGGGCCTCCTCCGGGTCATCATATACCATGTCTAAAGGACTACTCAGCAGCAAGCTTCTTGAAAGCCTGCGCGCCATGCTCCCGCAAAGATTGGGTTGCATAGTCCACTGGACATGGGCTGTGGGTTTCGCTTCCTGGTTCAGCCCGGCAGCAAGAAGTGGAACAATGGCTCGCCAACTTGAGGCGCTGGGTGAAATTGATGGTGGAACCCCTTTCCCTGCCTGGTACCCTAGATGCTCAGCTGAACAAGTCCAGCGTTGAGCTTTCCTATTTTGTTTTTGCACTGCCGAGCAAGTGGCCTACCAGATTAAGGACAAGAAGTTGATAAACTTTGCTCAGAGGTTTTGGTGAAGGTGTCTGAAATGGAGCCTTGGCAACAAGGTTGTTTTGTTTTTGACAGCTTCGCATGGGCCCGGTACTCCTTTGCCAAGCGAGGAGGTTGCCATTGCAGCAGCAGAGGGGGAGGACGGGATGAGTGCGAGCGGTGACGCATGTATCGCCACGTCGCGTTTTTGAACGCTCAAGGAACGAGGGTTAAAGTACCGCAGAAACTCACAGCAGGTGGCATGGGTCTATGGTGCGTGGAGGGTTAGAATGGAGAAATGACAGATTATTGATTTTACAATGTGACCGATCTAAATAAAATCCGCCCGCGCCGAGGGGAAATTATCACTGGCCGCATGCTCACCGCTAGAATTTCACATTAGCAGCACACAGCTTCATCTTTTTAGCGTGAGGGCGGAATGCATTTTTGGTCGGTCTAGATTGCTGTTTGTGGATGTTTCTTTCAACGGACAAAACATCAGCAATCCATCCGTGATGCCGGTTATGCTGCCCGAGGGAGACTGCGTTATTGACATCGCGGTTAGTTATTATTATTATGCTTCGCGAAGGATACTAAATTGTTGACATCGCGCGCGTGTGTGTGTGTGTGTAACCCTTGGAATGATAGGGATCCTTTCGGATTGTTTTAGCTTCGCAGTTGTTTTCCTTGTGTAGCAGGGGCGTGTGGCACTCTCGTCCTACCACACGCAACGAAGCTGTGGGCGAGAGTGGGAAGGGAAACTTGGCCAGTTTCCTGTACCTGCTGTGATAATTACTCCAATCTCCGGGCCCTGCTTGTACCTAAAACAAGAAATCCAGCCTTTGCACCGGTTTGCTCTCGGCAGTCACGCATAGGGCTTTGGTTTCGGACGACGTCACTCTGTCGCTCGGTCATTCGACGGTTCTTTTAGAGTTGATGGCCACGCTGAACTTGATGGACCTCCACTTCCTTTTCAGGTTTCCTTACGTGTACTCTTAGGAATTGGTAACCTAGGCCGGCGTGTGGCACCGCTTTCAGTTCAGCGCACCCTATCCTAAGTGCGTTTGGCCTCGTGCCAACCCGGGATGAGCCCGCAGAGTGCCTCCCGTGGACCAGTCGAACGGGTGTACGTCGTTATCTCCCCTGCCCGGAGATGTACGTGTCCGCAGCGGACAGTAGCTGGCTCATGCCACCAGAACTCCGATTTTGTCTCATTTTAGGAATTCCAAGCTGGCTTATGCCTTTACGTGACCGCAGCGGTCAAAGCAGCCAGCCGCTTCGGCAGGGCACAAGGTGACCACAGCGGTCAAAGTATTTTGAGGTTCATTGGCACCTGTTGGGACCTTAGCCCCTTTCTCCCCCTTCCCTTTCCTGAATGCAACACTCAGGATCACCCCTCTCTTTCTTTGGTGTGTCCCTGGACGCTTGTTCGTAGCTGGGAACACCTGCCTTTTCTTTTTCTTTTTTCTCTCCTCTCTCCCTCTCTCTTTCTTTCTTTCCTTCTCTCTCTCCTTCCTCCCTCCTTGGGTGTCCCTGGATGCTTTTGTCATAGCTGGGAACCTTCTCCTCTCTTCCTTTGGTGTGTCCTTGGACGCATGCGTCGTAGCTGGGAACACCTTCCTTTCTTTTCTCTCCTTTTTCTCGTCTCTCCCTACCCCTCCCTCTTGTCGGCACCTTAGCTTGGGATGCTACTAGGGGCTCCTGGCCTTCCTACTAGGTGTTAGGTGTTTCTTTGACGATACTAGAGGTTCCTGGCCTTTCCACTACTTGGGGACGAAGAGTCTCACACCACCTATGGCGCAGAGCTTAAAAATCTTGCCTCCCCTCGGGGAGGCGTGTGTGTGTAACCCTTGGAATCATAGGGATCCTTTCGGATTGTTTTAGCTTCACAGTTGTTTTCCTTGTGTAGCACTCTCGTCCTACCACACGCAACGAAGCTGTGGGCGAGAGTGGGAAGGGAAACTTGGCCAGTTTCCTGTACCTGCTGTGATAATTACTCCAATCTCCGGGCCCTGCTTGTACCTAAAACAAGAAATCCAGCCTTTGCACCGGTTTGCTCTCGGCAGTCACGCATAGGGCTTTGGTTTCGGACGACGTCACTCTGTCGCTCGGTCGTTCGACGGTTCTTTTAGAGTTGATGGCCACGCTGAACTTGATGGACCTCCACTTCCTTTTCAGGTTTCCTTACCTGTACTCTTAGGAATTGGTAACCTAGGCCGGCGTGTGGCACCGCTTTCAGTTCAGTACACCCTATCCTAAGTGTGTGTGTGCGCGCGCTTGTCCGCGTGGCCTTCACGAAAGAGACCACCGTTTGCACCAAACCACGCTTTACACCGCCGTTTACACCAAACCACCGCCTACACCAAACCACAGCTTGCCCTTTACACGAAACCAGGTTTGGGCCAGCCACCGTTCACACCAAACGACGCTTTGCACCAACGGTTTACCTCAGAATTTGGTCATGCAGTATGCCCTGGGGGTGGGGACCACCGGATAGAACATACATATTCTATATGCAACGCTCTTCATAACACATGCACCTACCATATTCTATCTCCATGTTTGCTCCTCTCCACCCCCAGCATATACACTCTTCATATTCGTTTTGCAACTTCAAAATCATACTCTAACTCCGGGCTCCTCATATATCTAGCTCTCTCTTTCTCTCTTCATATATGTTTATCTTCTGTTGGCTTATTTAGAGTACCAAACAATTTCATCATGTTTCATCTATATATACAGCGCGGCTATAGTTGTGCGTGGTGCTTTCTGCCACGCTGTTGTTTACTTTGGGTTTCCTTGAGTGCGCGCGTGCATGTGTATGAGAACAGCGGCCAGCCGATAGAGTGCGAACAAAAATTTTGGGTTTGCTGGTGGTTGCGCCTTTGCAGGCATGGCTTGGGCAAGCTTTCGCTGCGGCAATCAGGGCGAATCAGCTTGATCCCTCCAACCCGACGGCGGAGG